ATTTCTGCTCCGCCTCGTGACCAGCGTCCAGTGCATTTTGGCGCAGTCGGTTGAAGGGTCTCCGGCGTAGCCTCAAGACTTTCAGTGCGCCACGACCTAAACGGAAATCTGATTTCGAGGAATGGGCACTGGACTGGAGTGGATTGGGGGGGACGTCCTGGTTGATGATGAAAAACGCACTCGAATTAAAAGGTTTCGCTGGAAACGGGGACCGGACATCAACCTGATCAGGGGCGGGGCTGCAGCGCTTTGGGGGGTTGAACTACGAGTGGTTGCAAATGAATCAAATTAAAATATTTATGGGGATAATCTGTCACTTGAACAAGTGAATTTTTGCCAGGACCACAAGGAAAAATTGTATTTGAAAAAAAATCAATTGCATTGTAGGCTGTTGTTTCAAGAAAAATGTCTGGAAAAATATTAAATAAAAACGTTATTAAAAAAAAAGGGCAAAACAAATAACAATATTCTTGTGTATATAATTATTTCATAACTTTAAGAAAAGAAATTTTTTCTAACAACTTTAATTATTTCAATAAAAACGCAAGTCTTAAAAATATTATCATAAAAAACAAATAATATTATTCAGCCAGCTTATCCCTTTAATATCAAGATATTAAATAAAACAAAACAAATCACCAAAAAGAAATAAATAATTTGTCAGGCCAAACCTCAAATAAAGAACAAAAAGGAAAATATATTAGCTATTTGCCAAAACAAAATGTTCAAAACGTTTTAAATTAAAAATAAAAAGGCATGCACTGTCATTTAAAGATGGGAATTAGCCAAGGCAAAGCTTTTAGAAATTAACCCCAAAATAGGAATGTCCTGGAATAAACCGATTGCACTTCCACTGCAGTCTAACTGCAATTATCCTGCGGGTGTGGAGGGGGCGTTGGATGAGGGGGGAGGGGTCTCCGAAGGACCAGGACGAGACGAGTTGGGCCAGGCAGCCAGCATATTGCAATTTTGCAAATCAAACAAAAGGCAGCCGCAGAAAAAAACGCTACTCCGTGGGCAGGGGCAAAGGCGCTCGACCAAAAGGACAATGCACAGGCCGAGGATGGCACAGGATTCAGGGATTCAGGGATTCGGCAGGACTCAGAACTCAGAACACAACTCGGCTAATATGCATTGCACATGCAGCGAGTCTTACGCGGAGCAGGAGAAGCCAGAGTTTGGGGGCTTTCAACTTTTTTCATGACTCTTGTTTCGGCAGTTTGTTTGCCCAGCAAATGCATCCAATGCAATTTTTCGGGCCGCAATGTAGACGCAAGTCCTTGCTGCAATCAACTTTGCCAGCAAGCCGGAAAACACACCATTCCGCCCGCTGGTGTGAGCTATGTGGAGCAGCAGCGATGGTTAAGCGGACGCTTCGCAAGTCAATCAGTCACAAAAAAAAAAACACACACACACAAAAATATAAACAACTGAAAAACAAAAAAAAAGTGCCAAGCCGGCTAAAGTCCTTATTATCCTTGCATGTGGCCGGAGAAAAAAAATGCAATATCGAATGCATTTGGAGCTGCAGCCACGCCCCTTGCCCGCCCCCCCTCTATCAACTAAACGCACTGCAGCCGCAAAGAAATTGTGAAAATGGAAACAACAAAAAAAAAAAGAAGGGAAATTGGGAAATGGGAAGCGCGAGAGAGAGATTTTCAATTAAAAGGAATTGCTGCTCTATGTGGATTTTTGTGCTTATTAGCCAGCCTCCCCCCTTCCCTTCGCCCTGGCCTAAAACCACTCGAAAGCCGTGCACATTTGGTAATCAATTTCTGTTGTTGCTGCTGTTGTTGTTTGGCGGCTGACTGACAATCTTTGCTAATAAGCAGCCCCCCAGGCGCCTCCTCTACATCTGCACCAGCTATAATTGCACTTGGCTAAAAACTAGGCGGAAAACTATTTGTCACTAACAAAATAAAATTCAGAGCTTTAAAACTATAAGCAAATAAATAAGTTTATATATAAAATATTACAAAAATGTGTTCAGAAATGTAACCCTTTTTTAGAAGGGTGAAAAACTTTATATTTTACTTGAAAATTGTATTGAAAAGCAAATAAGTTTAAAGTAAACATTTGTTATTGAAATATGCTAATAAAGAAATTGCTAGAATATAGAATTATTTTTGCCTCTCAAAATAATACAATAGCTCAATCCCAAGTGTGTCATAATACTTCTATTTACTTTTCAAATTCAAAAGGTATTTCTCTGCGTGCATCTGCACAGGGCACAGATGAGATGATGCACTTGCATTATGCAGATTTCAGATTTCTGAATTGCGACGCCGAAATGCATTTTTCTGAGCCTGTCCCTCTCGTTGCCGCCGCTTTTCAATTAGGCCAATCCAAGCCAAACCAAGCCAAGCCAAGCCATCGCGATTCTGGTGAGAGGCAAAGGATTAGTGCCGTCATTATCTATTCCGTTTGCAGTATGTGGTATGTGGGCAGAAGTGTCGCATTTGGAGGATACGCAGGGCAAACTGCCGCATGGGCAAAATATTATTGACTATTCTTCTGGGCCGAGGTCGCAACAATGGAGTGCGGAATGCAAATCCTTCAGTCAGCTAATATTGTTTATCCCTAAGCAGTGTTCTGCGCGTTTTCGGTTCCCGGTAAGGAACAAAGCCGAAAACTATGCAAAAATATAACAAAAAGCGAGGAGACCAAATCGAAAGGAAAACTCTTTTTTGACAATGGCAGGTAGTGAGGGTATAGAGGGCATGGGGATGAATGAATGGACGATGCGATGCAAACTAAGTGCAAAGGATTTGCCGCGACCAAAGGGCTGAAGTGGCCGACAAATGATTGACGAAAATGCCTCGGGAAAACTGTGAGAAAATCAGCCGTTTTCTTGATGAAAATCGGAGATTTTACCCCCTCCTTTGACAGCTGAAAATTGTGATTCTTCTTTTATTGTCTCGCATATATATATAGGAATATATATATGCATTCCATTTTCCCTCATTTGGCTGACCATTGTTTGGTCCTTGATCGGAGGCCGAATTTGACACTTTCCAAGAAGGCATTGTTTGAACGGGTTAATTTGTGTATTTAGCATAGAGCCAGCCAGCTGTTATTGAATATCGACGGTGAGACGTAAACCCAATTAAAGACCTAAGTCGCCGCACACATTTTGCGGCACGTTCGTCCTTCATTTTGCACCTTTCGCGATGCGGCAAGAAGGACGCAAAAATGCAGATCACGGCCCAAGAAGTCGAAATCGATATGCACCCGCATTTTGTGTGTCTGTCTGTCTGTCTGTCTGTGAAGATGCTGCCTTCCAAAGGCCATGGATCTGATCTGGAGTCCATAACTCATCGGGGCAATGTGCAAAAGTGGCCGTATCGCATATCCTGTGGCTGCTTTGTTTGCCGGAGGCTCCTTTGTCCCCGGCGAAGTCAGCTGCAGTTGCAATCTGTTTTTTCCGCATTCAGCACGATCAAATATTGCCGAAGAAAGAGCTCTAACTCTCCCCTCTCCCCTCCCCCCGTACATATTGCATCCCGATCAGGTGGCGCGTGTCCGCTGGTGGCCAACTGTGATTTGTCGGTCTGAGCCATAATGAGATTCTCCTCTTTTTGGAGCGTCAGCTGGTGTGTGTGCCACGTGTATCTGGCAGATACTTTTGCCAGAGCCAGCCGCCTTATCGACTGCATTCTGAATTACCCGCTTAGCCGCTCATTAACATGTCACTTTGGCCTACTTGTCTTGGCTTCTTTGGTTCGTCGAAATGCAAATTGCTCTACCAAAACTCCCACCACTTTCAATTCCGAGCCTCAAAGTCAAGCTCAAAAAATAAAGTATTAAAAGAACACTATAAAAAACAGTTCTATAAAGAAAGTTACTTGCTCTATCGTAAATTGCAATTACTTATATTTAAACCATAAACATTAGGAAAGTCATCGAAAGTTGTCTTACCTAAAATACAGTTATTTCTAAAATTAATTTTTCCTTGGCTTCAAAAGGAATGAAATTAGACTGGGAAATTCGCAGAAGGGTAAATGTTTTTCCAAGTGAATGGCCAAAAGCTTTTTAATTAAGCCCCTGCCTTCAAGGAGGGGACCTCGAATCGGGAATCGAGGCAAAATCACAGAAAACGAAAACTGTTATTATAATCATCGTCTACGTCTGCAAGCGGCCCCACCCACTCCAACCCCTTCTTGTCGCCTACTTTGTCATTATAATTTTTCCTTTCAGCCGGCCAAAGCGATGGCCAAATGAAAGAAATATTTGCGGGCCAAAAGAAATGCATTTTATTATTATTATTTGTTGTGGTGACTTTTTAATCATTTCCCTACCAAACAAAGCGCCTGAAGGGGCGGGAGGGGGGATAGGGTTGTTGCTGTTCAAGAAGTGGAACCACTGGCCGATTCTTATTGGTGCACCAATACCACTGGGACCACTCAGACAGACATGGCCATTCGGCTACTCCCACTCCCACACCGATGACGACACAGGCGAATGGGAAGTCTCAAAAGTAAGAAAACCACCACTGTAAGAAAACCCACACCAATAACAAAACTTGGCCGAAGACCACTACAATGCAAAAAAACAAATTCGCCGCAAAGACGAGCCAAGCACGAGCACGAACACTGGAAAGCCGAAGAACGAAGAAGACGAAGTGCCTCCCCTTCGCAGCCGTGACGTCACAGCTCAAGAAAACGCTCAAGGAAACGAAACGACCTTCAAAGTAGCCCTCAGCGAATGAGTGAGAAAGGGGCGAAGTTGCGAAGTGAGCAAAGGAAGAGCAGGTAATGAAGGAAGAGCAGTGAGCGTAAGAAGACGCTCTCCGCTCTTTTAGGCTCTCTGCTGAGAGCAAGGCAGCCCGTCTCAGACGTTCAAGACCTGTCTTTCGCTTAGCATTCACTACGCTCTCTCTCTCATTCTCTCTTAGGAAAACGACGATTTCTTTATGTTAAGAGAGGAGAAATTGTAAAACCTGATCTAAGGCTTATTTTCAGACGTTTTTCGTTTTTAAGATTATTTCAGCGTTCGCGTCGGTTGTAGTTGGTCGTTCTTACTCGCAAATTGTATGGACTCAAACAAATGCTATATACAATTTGTATAAGCTACTCGAATCTCAAATATGCAACGCCTTGTATCTAAAAGTTCGCTCTCGCTCAACGGATACGGATACATCTGCGGCGGACTGGACTGGGATTAACGCTAATTCGATTTTGATTGCCGCCAGGGGGCATCGATGCGTAAGTAAGTGTGTAATTAACCAAGCACGCGGTCGTGGACTCCTCTTTCTGCTCGTAACCAAATCCATGGTTCGATAAGCCAGATCAGTTCCATGGGGACCAATGCTTTATCTTGTGCATGTGTCTTTAGGGGGGCGTTCTTTGTTTTCTCAATAAAAGAGGCGTTTAATTAAGGTCAGCTAATGGATCAACTGTATGTATATCATCGCTTTGTGCGGTAAGTGTGTTAAAGAATGAAAGAGTGGCAGACATGGGGCGCCTGAAGTTCCCCAAAGTCGCCAAGGCGATGACTCAGTGGGCAAGACGGATAAACAACGGGTGAAGACAAAAAAAAGACAAAAAGAAAACGGCCTGAGAGAACCAGAATCAAAATAGAAGAACCAGAAGGAGAGGCATTCGGAAAAAAACAAGCTGAAGATCCCATGGGCAGTGAGAAAAACAAAGGGGAAAACGAGATGGCAGACCCGCACATGTGTTTGTATCTTGGGAAATTCGAGAGGGGTGGCGGTGAAAAGTGGTGGGGTAACCCTAGGTGGGGTGCATTGAACTTGGTGGCAAAAGGGGAGCGATTAAGAAACCCACCAAGAGATCACAGATCACCAGTTCCCAGAATTAAAACCAAGCCAAGCCAAATACTTGTTGTTGTTATGGTAAATTTCCACATCTCGGTTGTTGTTATTGCGAAAAAGAGGAAAGAAGAAGATAGAGGGGAAACAAAATAAGAAGAGCAGGCAAAAATAATAAATACAGAGACCCGAAAGTGGCAGCTGCAACTCAAATATTTCACAAAAACTCAAAAACACAGAGAGAAAATGGGACACACATACGTACATACATACATATGTACACTCAGGCAAGCAAAGGAGCAGAAAAAGGAAGCGAAGAGCTAGAGCAAAAGGAGTCCAGACAAAAGGCATTGCAGGGATGACGATTAAAGGTTGCAGGCAAAACAAGTCAGCAGGATCAAGGACGCACAGGCACACACACACATACTCAAAAAGGAGCAGGCAGAGAAAACCTGAAATCGTCACACAAGCCCAAAGCCAAAGAGAGAAATGCAAGCGAACGAGCAAGGGAAAAGAAAAGGCAGATTAAGGACCCGTTCCTTTGTAATGGTTTTTTTGCTACAATACATCCATAGGTAGGTAAAACCCATTAGGGTAGTTCCCTCATAGGTAACAGAGTGTGTGTGTATAGGTAGAGATCGCCAGGACATGCAAAAAATAGAAAGAACTGAGCACTGAAGAAAATGCTGTATCACAATGGGAAAGATTAGTTTTTTCGGGTCGATTGAAAATCCATTGTTAGGGGACAGAGTAAATTACTTATTGCACAGTGGTTCAAGGTCTACGAAAATAAACATGATTAATCGTTATTTGATCGTTTGTGGAATACAGAGAATGCACAAAATAGTTAATGATAGCACCACTAGAAACTTTCTTACTAATGAAATATTTTTTTTAACGCGGAATAATAGAAGATTTTGAAAAAAGATTGCACATGTAAGCGAAAAATGTTGTAAAATATTTAAATAAATTCTAAAAAATTTAATGATTTGAAATGCGCAGACTCGTTTTTATAGTTCTCAAACTTGAGTGTAATATTAGGAGAAAAGTAACTAAAATAATGCAAACATATATGGATCAAATAGTCAACTGTGAAAATGTCATATATATATCCGGACATTTTTTATTTAATTTAAATTATATAAAATATCAGTGGATTGCTAGATTACTTTTATAAACACTCTTCTTTAATAAGTAAATTGCTTTGATTTCTTAATAAAAATTGAATTAATAAATTAATTAAATAATATATATATTACAAAATATTGTCACGAAGGATAAGTCTTTAACATATACTTTTAAACTAATTTCCAGATGGTATTCAATAGAAATGATCAATAAGAGTTATAAATATTTAACCGTATGCCTTTTTTCCTAATCGAATTGACTTGGTGAAAGTATCGTTTCTACTATGACCCCACCATTAAGTTCCCTATTCCAATAACAACATCTCATCATATTTTGATTTCTATCCAACAGAAGGCAGCTGCTACTCCTCTCCGACGAAGGAAACCGAATACCACCAGCTGTGTCGTATCCTCGCCAGTCGCAAACAAGAACAACAGGGGCACACGATCGCATCGGAGGATCACAAAAGGCTCGTGCCATATGAACCAGGGGGTTGGTGATAGCGCCTCCTGAAAGAAGTACCGACTCATGCTCATACCCGTGCGGTCGGGCGTCGAGACAAAGTGATCCTGCCGCAAGGAGCAGGACGAGCCGCTTATCAGCCATGCATGGAAATCGGGGTGGCTGAGGGTTGCAAACACGCGTTCTTATCTTAAAGCTCGGGCTGTCGGCTCGAGAGGGTGACGAAATAGAGCAGATGTGCAAACAACGGCCCCGATGACTGATGACTGACGAAACCCAGCAATTACACCTTGACGGGAGGCGATAGTTTCCAACGAACGACGCGTGCTCGGCACACTTGGGGAACCTGGACAGGAGCCACTCTCGCCAGGCCACTCAGATTCCGGCTCCGACTCAAAGGTTCCAAATTCCCAGTATTACAATGTCGGTGGACAACAGCTTAGGAATCCTCGACTTCAGTTTGGCTAAGGAGAGTGAGAAAACAGCAATGACAGCAGCAAGCGTATACAAAACGTCAGACAAGGAAAATGACCCGGATCCCCACCTAACGGGCATAGTCACCACCGGAGCCATGGCCCAGCCAGCCACGCCCACTTCCGCGATTGCAGCGGCACTGCCGCCGACGCCCACTCCAGCAGCAGGTCAGGATGTGGCCGACGGCGGGAGCACGGACCTCAAGTTCCAGTCGTACGTGAATGGCAATGGCAATGGGGTGTACAAGATCATCAAGACCCTGGGCAAGGGTAACTTCGCCAAGGTCAAGCTGGCGATCCACGTGCCCACCGGTCGGGAGGTGGCCATCAAGGTGATCGACAAGACTCAACTGAACACCAGTGCCCGGCAGAAGCTGTACCGCGAGGTGAAGATCATGAAGCTGCTGAACCACCCCAATATCGTGCGCCTCTTCCAAGTGATTGAGTCGGAAAGGACGCTCTACCTGGTAATGGAGTACGCCAGTCGGGGCGAGCTGTTCGATCACCTGGTGAAGAACGGAAGGATGCGGGAGCGAGATGCCCGGGTCATTTTCCGGCAGTTGGTGTCCGCCATCCAGTACTGCCACAGCAAGTTTGTGGTCCACCGCGATCTGAAGGCGGAGAACCTGCTGCTGGACCAGCACATGAACATTAAAATCGCTGACTTTGGTTTCGGCAACACCTTCGATCCCAATGCTCAGCTAGAGACCTTCTGCGGAAGTCCACCGTACGCAGCCCCCGAACTGTTCATGGGCCGAAAGTACGCCGGACCAGAGGTGGATGCCTGGTCGCTGGGAGTGGTGCTGTACACCCTGGTTAGTGGATCTCTCCCCTTCGATGGTGGCACCCTGAAGGAGCTGCGTGAACGCGTCCTTCGCGGAAAGTATCGTGTGCCCTACTACATCTCCATGGACTGCGAGAACCTGATGAGGAAGTTCCTGGTCCTGAATCCCGCCAAGCGCACTTCCTTATCGGCTGTCATGTCGGACAAGTGGATAAACTTGGGCCACGACGAGGGCGACAAACTGCGGCCGTTTCGGGAGAAGCCCATGGAGCTGCAGGATGCCCCTCGCTTCGACTTGCTGGTGAGCATGGGCCACAAGCGCCGGGATGTGGAACAGTCGGTGAAGGGGCAGCAGTTCGACGACATCTACTGCACCTACATGCTGCTGGGCGTGGCCAAGCCGCGCTCCTCGAACCGCAGCGCCAAATTGGAGGCAGTGGCATCAGCAGGGGACATAGCTACTCCACCAGTCAGCATCCCGCTCACGAATATCACCACACCCACTGTTACCATAGCTCAAGTGACGCTCGCTCTGGACAAGAATCCGACCACCCACTCTGCGTCCGTTTCGAGTCGCCCCGTAGCTCCTCGTTTGGCAAGTGTCCCCATTACGCCCACTTCGACACCGCCCTCGGGACCGCCAGCCAAGCCCACCCGCCGCACTCCGGCCAGGACACCAGCCCGCAAGGCCACCAACCAAGGACGACCCGAGCCATCGAGCCTGCCTCACACGCCGCAGTCCAAGAGGGCCAGTGCCAACATGGACGTGAAGCCGACCCTGCTGAGTGCCCAGCGACAGTTGGCCCAGACCCAGAAGCTGGCCAGCACGCCGCCCCGGCTTCAATACCCCGGTGCTGCTACTCCAAATCCAGCTCAGGGATCCTCGAGAAGGCCCACGACGCTCTACGAGAAGGCAGAGCCGGCGGTCACGCCCCTTTTGGTGCCCAAGTCGCCGGCCATGGGAGGACGGCTGATGGAACGGATTCCAGCAGCGGCTGCGGTGGAACGGGCTTCTGAAAAACCCTTCACTCGACACAACGTGGCGCGGGCCACCTTTCACTTCGGCCAGGCACGGAGTGGGAAACGGGGTGGAGGAGGGTCAGGAGGTGGTGCTGGCGGCGAGGAGGACAGCTACCAGACGCCACCCCTGTCCGCCGATGACACCAAGCCCGCCTCGCGCGTGGGATTCTTCTCCAAGCTGACCGCTCGCTTCGGCAGACGGGTGATCCACCTGAACGAGAAGGATGTCACCGAGCAGCGCAAGAACCTCACCAAATAGCCAGGTGTCCGGCGGTTTGGGGCATCAAGCAGCAAGAAGCCGAAGGTACAGTGATACAGCAAGTGATATAGCAGTCCTTGTCCGAACATTCTATCGACCTTGTGTGTGGATAGTAGTTCTAGAACTCAGTTTGCCTAACGCTTCGCTGCTATTTGAGAAAATAGATCGACCCGAAATGACAGCATCAAACACATCCAAAAATTCCGACGGGGAGAAAAATCCGGATCCCCAACAGTCGGGTTATACTGTCACCACCGAAACCACGGACCAGTCAGTCAGGTCCACTGCCGCCATGCCCACTTACGCAGCTGGCCAGGATGTGGGACACGTTGGCAGCAGTCGCAGCAAACCCGATCTCAAGTTCCAGTCCTATGTGAATGGCAACGGCAATGGGGTGTACAAGATCATCAAGACCCTGGGCAAGGGCAACTTCGCCAAGGTCAAGCTGGCGATCCATGTGCCCACCGGTCGGGAGGTGGCCATCAAGGTGATCGACAAAACTCAACTGAACACAGGCAACATGGAGAGGCTCTATCGAGAGGTGGAGATCATGAAGCTGCTGAACCACCCCAATATCGTGCGCCTCTTCCACGTAATTGAGTCGGAACGGACCCTCTATCTGGTGATGGAGTACGCCAGTCGGGGCGAGCTGTTCGATCACCTGGTCAAGAAGGGAAGGTTGCAGGAGGCGGATGCCCGGGTGCTATTCCGCCAGTTGGTGTCCGCCATCCAGTACTGCCACAGCAAGCGTATTGTCCACCGCGACCTGAAGGCGGAGAACCTGCTGCTGGACCAGGACATGAACATAAAGATCGCCGACTTTGGCTTCAGCAACCGCTTCGAGCCGAATGCCCAGCTAGAGACGTTCTGCGGAAGTCCACCCTATGCAGCCCCCGAACTCTTCAAGGGCAGAAAGTACTGCGGTCCGGAGGTGGACTCGTGGTCACTGGGAGTGGTGCTGTACGCCCTGGTCAGTGGCACCTTACCCTTCGATGGCGCTACTCTGAACGAGCTGCGGGTTCGCGTTCTGCGTGGCAAGTATCGTGTGCCCTACTACATTTCGCTGGACTGCGAGAACCTGATTAAGAAGTTCTTGGTTTCGACTCCATCCAAGCGTACCACCCTATCGGCAGTCATGTCGGACAAGTGGATTAATCTGGATCACAAGGAGTGCGACAGACTGCGGCCGTTTGAGGAGAAACCCATGGAGCTGCAGGATGCCGCCCGTTTCGACTTGTTGGTAGCTATGGGCCACCAGCTTCGGGATGTGGAGCAGTCGCTGAAGGGGCAGCAGTTCGATGACATATACTGCACCTACATGCTCTTAGGCGTGCCCAAACCGCGATCTTCTGACCGCAGCCCGAAATCAGTGGCTTCCACGACCTATACCCCAGTCAGCAGTCGGATTACTACTCCCACAGTTACCATAGCTCAAGCAAAGCTCCCTCTGGACAGGAATCCCATAGCTGCCCGTTTGACAAATGCCCTCATCTCGCCCATGTACATGCCTCCTTCGGGTCAGTCGGACAAGTTCATCCGCCAGTCCCATAACCCTTCAAACCCAACAGCTCAAGGACGTTCCGAAGCTCCGAGTCGGCAAACAGCGCGACCCAAAAGAGAAGCTAGTGCCTTTGTGGAAGTGAAGCCCACGCTACTGAGTGCCCAGCGACGTTTGGCCCAAGTCCAGAAAATGGCCAGCTCCCAACAACGCATTCAAGACACCGGAACACATACTGCCGTCAAGCAATCGCACACCACCGGAGGACCCTCGATCCTATTCGAGAAGGCAGCATCTCCTGCTATGGGGCTCAAGCCCCCAACGACCCCAACTAAATCTGCTGAAGTCAAAAAACCGGGATTCTTCTCCAAATTGTCCGAACGCTTTGGTCGACGGGTGTCGTACGCTGTCACTGAGCAGAGCAAGAACTTCATCAAATAGCGAAAACAATGCAAGTGATGTAGCTGAATCTGCCCGAACAAACTATTGACCTACTAGTAGTTGGTATTTTAAATGAAAACGACTCAAATTTAGTATGACAAATAAATGTTGATTTAATTAATATGTGTTACGAGCTGAGGTGATCGTTCTGAACTGATCTTGAAACTTGACTGTCAAAAACCATTAAAATAAATAAGACGATCGCTTTATCCCATTACGAAATACCTATTATAATATATTAGAATAAAATATGTCAATAAATTGTGATTAGAATGAATGCGCTACCGACTTTCAATGGCCGACAAGCTGTAAAGTGTGGGAACGATCACTTAAAACTAAAGGAACAAGTAACATTTACCAATTGGCTGGAACACAAAAAGGGTGCACACAAAACAGCGGCAGCAACAATTTTAGTTTGCGTGTCGCTCGGACATTAAATGGAGCGGTGCGAGCGATTTGGAGGGGGTTGGGAGTGAACACGAAACCGCAATCATTTTGCACTTTTCGAGGCAACAACAGCCGTGCTTGGGGTGGGGGGGTGGCAATGCGAAGGCGTCGAGCGGCGGAAGGAAAAGGCGTTCACAGCCGAACATAACAATATCCGGAAAGAAACCAATAAACGTGAAATTCCGCAGAAGGGCCGCCGACTACTCTATATCTGTTTGGTGGGAACCGAGTTGGGAAAAGGATAGCAGAAGGGGTGGGTTACCTGGTGGAATAAGGCATAAGTGTAAGGGTGTTTCGGGACTGATTGGACCCATTGGGAGCGGAAGCAGAGCGTTTAATACGTTAACCGGCGGAAGAAGGTGACTGCGAGCAAGTAACAGGTCGCACATAAATTAGACGCCTGGCTAGTGCATTAATGTGCATGCCCACTCCTGGAAAATTTCTCCCACAATGACACCACCCCGGCAATTAGCCCCTTTCCACCTATCCTGCCGCCTGATAAGATTGGGCCCAAACCGAAATGCAAACAAAAGTAGTCGCGGTCTATTTGCATGGGACTAGAACGGAGCAGAGCTTCGATTGTTTGCTTTAAGGGTAAACCGCACTCGCATTTATAGATACGGATAGAGATATATGCATATAGATGGTGCTGATAAATCGAAATAGTACTTGAAGCAAATAAAAGTGCCTGTGCAAACAGGTCGAGTCAATAATTTAACTAAAAGCGCGCGCCATTCGATTAGATAGTTGGATAGTCGGCGTCGGTCGGTGCTTATCGCGGACTGGATCCGATAAGATAGCCACTCCGCAGACAGTCCGCACCATCCTTCCGCCTTAACTCCCATCAGAACGCCCTGAAAGTATGCTGCAAAAGTTTGGCCCGGAAGTGCCAATAAGAAAGCCATCTAGGACTAATCAGCAGTGTCTTGCAGAACAAAGGACCTGGCTAATTTGCGGCAACAACTCGTAACGAGCATGTAAATGAAAGTTGAACTGTAACTGCAAGTTAAGCCCATTTATCCAGTGGGCTGGGCTGCTAAATTGGCCAAGTGAAAGCCAAGGCTCTTGACATCTAATTGAGGGTGGATTCGCTTTCGTCTTCGTTTCTTGGGGGGGCCACAGTACCGCCTTTAAGTGTCTGCCTGCAACGCCTTGAGTGTGACTTGGGTCCTGAGCCCCAGAGTCCTGAGTCCTGAGTCCTGGGCCACTGCCACCCACAATTATGTCAATAGCCAAGTTTTCAGGGCCGAGCCGAGATTTGGTAGTGACAAAAGGTTCGACCCCCCAAAGTGGCTTGTGTATTGTTTACGCTGGGTAAATATTTTGCCGCCCAAGAAGTGCCGCAAGAAACTGTAAGCGAGTCCTGCGCTAAGGTGCTTAACCTGCTGAAATGTCAAGTGGGGCCGTCGCTTCTTTTGATTTTTCACATTTTTTCGTTTCGCCCGCCCTTTGCGGTCGCTTAAGAAACATTTTCCACGCTTTTCATCTTTTCCTGCTCGGTTTTTTCTTTGGCATTGTTCTGTTCGCGCTTGCCAATTAGTCCAATGCCATTTCGAATGTCCTTTTTGGTGAAGCAGCTGCCCTCCCCCACTCCAAGGATTGGTTTTTTCTTATGCCGCAACCCTTAATTAATGGCTCGCATATTCCTTGGCTTTGGTCTCAGTCTGAACTCAGTTTGCCAACTATTTTGTCTCATTTTCTGCCTGACTTAAGCGCTTAATAGTTTTCAGTTTTTATGGGCTATAGTTTTGTAGCCCCTGCTCCGATCCTTATTGGAGTATCTTCTTTGGCTTGCACTTTTCTTGCTCAAGTCGAAACTTTTTCTTATTGGAAAGGGTTCGGAACTCTGCTTGTGCGAGCTCTGGTTTTTTGTGGTCGCCCGGCAGTTAATCAATTTTTTGTCCTTTTTCCCATGGATTGTGTAAAAAGTTTGGTCTGCAAGTATGTTCCCAAAGGAGGGGGACGGTTTCGACAAGTCTTTTTGTGGTCGGGTGTAAGGGAAAACTTTTAATTAAGAAAACCTTGAAGTGATTTATTGATTAGAACTCGGCCTGGTCAAACTTTCTGTGGTCGCAGACATACCTCTCAACTTTCTGACTTTTCCTTAGCTGGAGGAGGTGCTTCTTTCTCATTTTTAGATCCACACAGCCAATGAAGCTCTATCTATGTTTTTTATAAGAGACAATTGAGCCGGTGTAGGGGCACAATTCCCCAACTAAATCAAAGAGACTGAGTCAAGTCAACAAATGCGAAGCGCGGCGAAATCAATTCTCTGTCTCCCTCTTCCGCTGGCGACTATATATGTAGTAGAAAAATACCGATTCGCTGCTTACGGAAGCGCAAAGAAATACACCCACTTCCCCGGCCCCTTGCCAAACAATATCCAACCATACCAATCCAAACTTATATTCAGTCTGCTCAACTGGCAGAACGAAACTTTGGACCCAGCCCTTGGAAACTTTGGACATTATTATTACTGGCCAATACGCAGTAAGAAATAAAGTCGAGGAAACAACAAACAAAATGGTGAGCACTTCCGCCCGGCCCGAAAGTAATTACCCAAAGTCGGGAGTTGGCAATCGGGAGCCCAGTGAGGCTTCAACTTGGTCTGTGCCGCTCATTTTACGCCTCCACTCCTCCACCTCCACCTCCACCTCCACCGCCACCCTTTAAAAACCGTCATTGTTTTAATTGTACACAATATGAAGATAATCAGAGGGCCGAAATCAGTGCGTGGATGGGGAGAAACTGCAGTTCTTGGTGACACATGCCCACCTCCACCAACTCTCTCTTTCCACACAGAGTAAACAAGCAAAGCCCGCCAGCGGAAGTGTCGCCGTGACTGCGGGCACAACAAAAAAGCGGAACTACTCTTGAAAGATTTGCGTTGGACAGGCAGGTAAAGGTGCCTTCACCTCGCCTGCTGCCTTTGCTGCCTTTGCTGCCTTTGCTGTTGCTCTGGCTCTGTCTGCGGCTTTTCATCGCACCCGGCAACTTTCGCGGCTGAGGCTGTCATGAGCTGCTGGCCTGGCCCTCGCATATTATTAACGTTTTAATACGTATTTGTGCTGGCTCTCCCCTGCTTTCGGCCACTTTGGTGCGTGCTGCATGGCGGGGGGAAATGGTAGTTGGAAATGGCAGTGGAAATGGTCATGGGATGGGGGTGGAAGTTTGGGACAGAGGGTGTGTCTCGACCACTTGTTGTGGACCGGAGCACGTGGGAAAGTGGAAAGCGGCTATCGATGCGAGTGGGACCATTGAGCTTCCGCCTGGGCCCACACTTGCCAAATTGTTATTAATTCGAAACAAAGAAAGTGGAAATGTTAAACCAATTAAATTAAGATAAAGGAAATATTTGAAAGAGATAGTAAATTACACTTGTCACAAAAAAAGTGAAATATTATAGCGAAAATAGGATGTTACAATTGAATTAATACAAAGGAAATATAATAATATACCAATTATAATTTATGGCAATTCAAATATGATAAAGCAAATATTTAAAAGTGTTAGTTAATAGAGGATGGAATATAATAAAATGTAATATATTAAAAAAAAAATATAATACAATAACAAGTCTTGTTGCAAATTATATATTAATTAGCAATGCCAGTAATTCATTTTTTGAATTTCTTTAATTTGTTTATTTTTAACAGATCATTAAAAAATGATATTAGCATTTTAATTAATTGAAGTATCATATAATGTCGAGGTAACACAATAAATATTTGAAGAACAAATTATAAAACTAAAACTATTGAATAAAAAATCAATAATTGAGTGGTATTTTTAAAGCGCCTCAATAGCAGGGAAGTTATCAGTTTAATTTGTGGACAATTCAATATTTTTAGTGTAGTTTGAGCCTTGGCATGACCAGTGCAGTGCAGTCGAGCGATCGAGATAGCGCCGAATAAAGCTAGATCCGACTAGAACACAGACACAGTGCAGCCAGATGGGATGCTTGAATGATTCCGCCATATGAGACACCCAGATCGACTCAGATCGCCTCACGCCAAGTGCTCGTGCATCCGGTCTAGTTTTGGGGGTTGGGCTGAGGCTTGATTCGCCTGCTTGTTTATGTAAGTCCATCGCAAATGGGTGTCTCCTCGTGTGTGTGTGTGTGTGTGTGAGTGTGTGAGTGTGTGAGTGTTGTGTGCTTCTCTCTAGATACCAAACACCAGATACTCGTTCTAGCGACTAGATGGCATCGCACAGATGCTCGTAGTCGCACTTGTCGTGGTGAACTCGTACTCATGCATGGCGCGCACCAAATACGAAATAAATTACACTTGATTATCTTGTTGCTCGCCTGGCTGCTGCTCGACCGCTGATCTATTGCAATAGTTTGTCCATGTCCGAAATAGGCTAACAAAAAACAAGAAAGATCGAGTGTCGTCAGCACTGCGATGTTTGGATGCCCTCCCCTTGGTTTGTCCTCCCCTCCACAAGATTTTAAGTTCAGTGTTAAATTAATAATTCGTTTTTATAAAAGTGGATTTTCTATCAAAATAACCTAATTGTCAAGTGGTGCTAAGTGTCAATCATATATATATTTCGAATGTTTTGAATTAAAAATGCAACTAAATGATTGAAATAAAATCTGAGTTAATTAAATATTGGAAATGATATTATATTGCAATTGGCAGTATATTAAGTTCGTTGATAAATGCTAATTGCTTTTATCACTTGTCTTATTTTTTGAATAGTTCCAAATGTAGGAGTTGTTTTTTATGGTCTTTATTATTAGGGTCTAGCGCTTTTGTTTGTTAGCTTTGGTAAATTAGATGTACCCCTTATTAGTATAGGGTATCGCAGACTAAACCCTGGACATGTGTTGATATTCTACAAGTCATTTGCTGACTTAATTTCCAGCGCTCGAAACGGAATAGAACGGAACCGAGCAGACTGTTGTAGTTTCCAGTGGGTGGAGGGTGGTCCCTGGGCGACTGGGTGGGTTGAAAAGTGGCTGGGGGAGGTGGATGGGGATGGGGATGGGGAAGGGCAACTAGAGCCGCGACATTTGCTCAGCGAGGCGTGCAACTTTGGCCGGCGCTCAAGTGAGCTCTGCCATTGGCCGGCGCAAGTTAGATATTTTGCTCGGACTCGGAATAGGAATCGGAATCGGAATCGGGCTATACTATATGCGACGAGTGTGGGCTTTATTTAATTCCAGATAATCATTGCGACTTGTTGCCGCGTTGGCTCTGTCTCTGCCTCTGTCTCTGTCTCTTTCTGCTTCTGTGGCGCGTTTTAGGGTAATTTTCTTTTCGCAATTGAATGAATTTGCGTTTCGGTCTGCCTCTGGCACTGGCTCTACACTAGTCAGCCAGCCAGCCCCCTTGTTCGACCGCCCCCCCACCACCACACTACACTTTTTATATTGTTCGGTCTCAATAAGAGATTATTCGAGGGCCGTGTATAGATGTATATTTAGATGGTTGCGCTCAGCTGCATGGTAGAAATTTTCACTTCCGTTCTTAAAACGATTTCCGGCCGACCATCAGAGCAGTTGGCCGTGCATGGCGAAAGGGCCGAAACTTTCTACATGACATTTCCACCTGGATGCTGGCCAAAGTTGCAAAGTTTCGTACAATGTGCTAAACATTTCGTGTGGGGGTCGCAGAGCAACTTTCTTGCCAGCGAACGAAACAAAACAGGCAACTTGGCCGGGACTTGGGCAGGAAACTTGGCCAAAAGAGCGGAGAATGGGCATGGGCATTGTGCGCCTGAAAGTCAACTTTAATTTAGCATTTTTCATAAGTAGCCTTAGGTGCACTTACTTATGCACTGAAAAGAAATTGTGGAGGGTTGGGGTGGCCACCAACACATGAGCAACGCAACTCAAGCCGCAGGGCCAATGTTCCTACGACAAGTGGGCTTAAACGAGAAAAACAAAACGTAACGAAACGAAACAGACCAGACCAGGCAGCTCTGAAGTTGGCAATAACAAGTGGAAAGAGCAGCCAACTCAGCCAAACACACGGCATCGAGCTGCAAAATAACGAGGCTGGGAAATGGGAAATGCTTAAGACTTGCTTCCTTCTATTTTGTCGCTTAAGCTGAAAATAATTGCAGCCTGCTTGTAAATCCAACAACGCAGCAACTAGCGGCGTCTGCTGTCAGCAAAAGGATAACACGGCGCCTCATTACACACACACACACACACAGACACAGGGTTACATGGCACACACATGCAACTTCAGCAATTTCCGTTTCCGCTGTTGCACTGCACTCCCTACACTAGCCTTCTTCTAGCCCAGACGCGTCTGTTTGTTTTCCCTTTTTATTTTCTCCCCGAGCTGGCGGGTTGGCGGGTTGGCGGGTTGGCGGGCGGTAAGTCAAAGAAAATGTCTGCGTGTTGAGCTGAGTTGGTAGGAGAAATTGAAACGGACACGGGGCAGTCTCCCTTCACTGCACTCCTGCTTAGCCAACAACCATCTCTGTCAGTTTTCTTTGCCATTTCATCTTAAGTAGCACACAAATAAACAAAGGCAAACAAGCGAGGATTGCAGAGTCCTGCAGCTCACAAAGGCGCCTCTCCATATGGCAGCACTTTTCGATTAAGGATACTCTGCCCCTCTATGTGTGTGTGTGTGTGGGTGTGTGTGTTGACTTTCTAATTAAAAAATGAAGTCCACTCGAGCACAAAGGCGTTTCATTAGACCAAGACTGGGCGTGGACTTAAAGTTGGAGGATAAACTGAAGTAGACTTACCAAAATTTAAGCGGCTTTCTCATTGGATAACTTCTCGATATGGTGTAACCTGCAAGTAAAAAGCAGACGATGGCACAGGGCGCAACGCAAAATGTGAGATTAGTAATCTGGTCAATTTGTTCAGATGGTAAGCTGAAATGTTTGTGGAAAATGCAAAGGGGAAGTTCACAAGCCCTGTTTCTTAAAGTTTCTACCCTTCAACGAAACGTAATGCTAACTTTACTACATTTTTTGTAAGTGCGAGCTATTTGTCGTATTTATAGGGTTAATATTTATAGTTGGTATAAGGGTTTGCAAGTCACAAGCTGCAAGCAATAATAAAATTTAAACAACAACGTTTTCTTGAATTGATAAAATAAATAAAAATTTCTATACAACAAAAAGGGGTTTTTGGCCCCGATATTTGAATTATTTTAAATACTATATGTTTTTATCAGGTTTACACTTTAAATATCATTTCCATAATTGTACTCCCATTGCCAATAAATGTATTTCATTATTTTTATACAAACATAAATTAAGAAAATTCATCAAAATTATATCTTTCTGTGTAGTTACTGAAACCAATAAATTTTAAAAACCAAAAACAACTTGCAGCCTCTCCATATTTTATCTTAGCTCTTAATTTCCTAAACTCAATTTTGGAATTATTCTACACAAAATATGAACTGATTTTTTGTTTGGGGTAAAATGTTCTATATATTGTTTGTGGTTTGTTTTCAGGTTTTTCATTGTTTTGTTCTTTTTTTTTTGCACCAATACCATTTGCGATATTTTACCCTTAATTTAAGTTACAGTGCCAGTGGCGAGTGCGAATCGAGCCGCTTCAGAGGATCGGACCGCTTCATGGCGGCCGTGTGTTCAGCGTGGGCAGCTGCCAGCAGGAGCGGCGGCAGCGACAGTCGCTCCCGAGGAGCGGGACTGTACCGCTGCCGGGAGCGGGCGGGAAGGGTCCGCGGACCGCTCCGGTCCCTGGTGTTGCGGATCGGAATTCGGATGAGGACGGCTCATTTCTCTGGCCGAGTCGTTGTGCACGGATTTTATCGGGGGGGTCGCTTTCGCTTGGGACTTGGGATGGCGAACACAATTCACTCTAGCGCTGCGGTCAACGGGGGCCGGGACTGGGGTCATCAGGGGTCACTAACTGCACATATTCTTTTTTCGTATATTTTTCATAAGCGGATGGGAAAATGATTTATTTATTTAAGGCACCGCCGCACGGCTTACTACTTTTCTTGTCACTTAGTTGCGAGGCACACCGAAAATTATGCCACACTTTTCACTGTTTCAGATCATTTCCGGTTACTTGGACTTAGTTGACTTTATTTAGATTAGTTATTTTATACGGTTTCATTCGGAAAGAGTTTCCAGAAGTTTGTTGCCGCAGCGCTTTTGATTTTACAAGTTTAATTTAGAATTTCGAGCATTTTCGCTTTGTTATATATTTTGTCAGACTTTATTTCATGTGGCATTCATTTGTTTCTATTTTGGCTAAATTTGAAAATTGTATTCATGAAAAAAGTTATTATTTTATATGACTGCTATAAGTTAACAATCAAAAGTTCAAAATAAAACTTTCAAAGTAATAATCACAACACAAACAAATTATTATTATTATTATTTTTAGCTAGCTCTATCGAAAGATTAAATTATGAATTTATATTTTTGCTCCGTTAAAATACAAAGTGTTAGTTGTTTATTTAAAACAACCCAAAAATGTTTTACTTTACAAAAACAAAATCTGAAGCTCAAATTGTGGAAAAGTAAAAGGCTAAATAAAGATAGAAAACAAATTTTTAAAAAATATTTCTTTTATTTTTTTTTTTTTTTGATATTTTTAACACTGATTATTCACAACATTTATTAACTGAGTTGATGAATTTTTGTTATTTTTCACAGTTGTGTTTTATTCTCACTTTGTCACAGTTTTGGGGAATTATTATTTAGTTCATTTACATTAACAGTATATTGAACATTTTTGAGATGCTCTAATCATCCCCCACCCTGGCACGTACCATCATCGAAGTGTGGACTTATGGGACTAACGGGCAACTGATTACTGATTACTGCTGACTGGCTGCGCTGTTGTTGTTCCCTAGCTGAGTGACCAACTGACTAAGGATTGAACCCTCTAACTGGCCGCTGCTGCGGCGCTGCTGTCGCTGCAAGCCAAGACGATCAAATGTCTCCCAAGAAACGAAGCCCCTCAGCTTTTATATTCGGCTCCCAGTGTGCCAGGGTCTGTGTGAGAGTATTTATATAAAATTAGACACGACCCGCTGTATCTCAACTATATAAGTATGGCCTGCTGCTGGTGTTTGTGTGCAAGTGTGTGTGTGTGTGTGTGTGAATGTGTTGCTGACAAAGTTGAGCGGGGCTGCGGCGAATCTGAGGCTCTAGCTGCCTTGAGCGCTTTAGATAATTTCCTGCCAAGTTTTTCCCCATCAAAGACAAGACGCGGCGCCTGCCAATGCGCAGGCAGGATAATTGCGGGCTAACATGTCGTATGCGCAATGTGGCCACCAATGCCGCATCAACAGCAGCAAGTGGCGCTCGATTGCGTGTGTGTGGGTGTGTTCAATGGTTTCCTTGTGTTAGTATTTTTTTTATTCTTTCATTTTGTTGGCGTGTGTGTTTGTGGCCCTTTGGTTGGCTAATCGCGAAAGAAGGCAAGCGAATAAAGGCGCCGCAAGTTGCACGTACCACAAGACAGCGACACTTGAACTAATTGAGGAGGATCTGTGACTGGGTTCGATTGGCGAGACGATTGAGCTGGCTGAACTAGGCTTTAGTTGGTTATTTCTAATTTATTTGATATTAAAATTTATTTATTATTCCGTTTATTTAAATTTATTTTATTAAAAAGAATTTGTTTAATTTATTTGATTGATTCAACTCAGACACACAGCTTATGCACGCTATACAATTTAGTTGTTTGTTTTTTTTTTTTTGTGGGTTAATATTTTATTATTATTATTTTATTTTAATAATTTATTTGGAGTGATTTGAATTTTTACACAAGTGGAGGCGGCGTTCGTCGGCGTCGTCGAAAGAAGACATACGCAAGCAAAACTTCTGCCAGCGCGCGTGACTGGAAACGTACTGAATTTTGTACTCTAGCCTGCGAAAGTAAAGTGCCAGAAGACCAAGGCGCTGCCTCAGTCGAAGTCGAAGTCGAGGATTCGGTCTCCGTTTCCGTTTCCGTCTCAGCTGCCGCTGCTACTACTGCTGCTGCTGCTGCTTCAGTCAGCCCCTGCCCACATAAGTGTGCTACACTTTCTTGCAAGCAGGCGGTCCTTCCCACACGCCGCACGCCCTGGCATCCCTTATCCCGGCATCTGCGATAACGAGCTGCCTTTTCTATATACACGACGTCGTCGTCGCTTTTAAATATATGTATATCCCATATAATAATATATATTATTTATATATGTATTAGGCGACGCCGGCCGCGGCAGAGGCAGCAGATAATTTCCTACACGCAGTAAGTGCAAGTAAGTGTGCGCCTGCTCTCACACACAACCGCACGCATACCTGCACGAAGAAGGCGCTCCAAGGAGGAGCCGATTGCCGACTGCCAAAACGAGCGGCCACGAGCGATGGTCGAGCGGGCGGGGTGGGCGGTAGGTCGGGCGGTACGACCGTACGCGCGCGTAGCTTAAGAAGAACTAGAAGAGAAGAAGCAGGCAGGCAGCGGCCGCAGCAAGCTGAGCTCCTTGCCGAGTCGTCATCGGAGCGGATTCGGAAGTCGGAAGCCGAAGCTGCTGCGTAGGTGTAGTTGTAGGTGTAGTCGCAGCCTCAGGATAATGTAATGCACTCACACACACACACACGCACACAGACGCCGACAGAGAGAGGACGCAATTAGAAAGCAGCAGGACACGAAGCAGCCGAAATTCAGGCACGAAGGCACGAAGACCCGAAGCCTGCGGCTGGCAGTCTTCGTATTGCCGGTTCAGACACTTCTCAAAACGGAGCCCTCTCTCTCAGACTCACTCTCTCCCCCAATAGCCCTTCTCTGTCCCTCTGTCAGCGTCTTCTTCTCAAGAGAACACAATATTTGCTTACCCGTCGGAGGATTCGGAGCATCACATGAGCAATTCTGCGTATCAAAATTGAGTTTTGGACTCTGTAGTTCCGAGTTCGTATAAAAAATATATACAAATCATAATAATACGTATATATACTTATAAAAATGTTGCCAACAATCTTTTTGCTTTGTACTTTTGATTTTACATTTGAATTTTGTAACTTGTGTCTTTGTTCATTTCGTGTCTTTTATTCAATTTGTTCGCGACTTTTACGTAATTTTCTTGTTCTTTTTTTGTCTTTAAATATAGTTCGTTACTTTTTTGGTATTACGTTAACAAACAAAATGGACTGATGAGTTTTTGTGTTGTGGGAGGGCAAACAAGTTCAAACAAATAACAAACTGAGAATCGTCGAGAGTTCCTGCCGGTTGAGAGTTTAGTCGAGACTTTTGGAGAGACGGCGAAAAAACACTTGAGAATCGTTCTTTGGAAGCCGGTAAAAGTGGTTCGATTCCTTTTGGTCTGAATGAGTTACTTTTTGATTCGATGCTTGGACACACGATCTATCAACTGTTTTCTGGGTAAGAATTTCCTTATGATTTTGTTCGAGTTTTAGTTGCTGATTTTGGTTGCTTTTTGTTTCCTTTTTGGTTTTTTGTTTTTTAGTTTTGTTTTGTTTTTGAGTGCACGCAAACTTAATACTTAAAAATAAATGAAAACGTAATTGAAAAATCCGAAAATAAAAATTTGTTTGTACGACGACGTTGATGTGAAGCTTTGTACTAAAAATGCGAAAAATTATTTCGCCGCGAATAGGCCGAGGACGACCGCTGACGGTGTCGTTGTCGTTGCGTTGTCGTTGTCGTTGCCGCGACTCTCTGCCCCAGCCAATCTGTGCATGTGTGAGTGTGCATTGGGGCTGGTATGTGTATTGGCAGCAAAAAATGTTTGCCCGCCGCAGCCGCGAAAAAATACGCGAATGTCCGGGGGGAGGACACGGTATAATTCCAGGGAGGTATTGCAAAGCCAAAGGCAACGGCAAACACACAGTGGGGCTTTGCAAATAAAATCAGCGGCAGCGCAGCCAGGACATCCTGCCCACCCACCCGACACAGGATACTCTCCCACTCACGCACACACACTGCCACATCGGAGGGGAGCTCACACAGACACATAAGCTCTTTGAGCTAGAGCTAGTGCGCATTTCAAATACTTTTCGTACATGGAGGGGCAAGCGTCGGCGTTGGCAGCGCTGTCGACGTCGACGTCGCTGCCAGTTGGGGCAGCCCAACAAAATGGAGAATGAGTATGCATGTATGTGTGTGTGTGTGTGTCTGGTTAGGCAAGTGTTACTGTTAGTGAGGGGGAGAACTGCAGGAAGAGCATCCTGCGAAGGTGGGCAAGACTTTCTCGGGACATTCTCCTCTTCTCAAGATTCCCCAATGTTCGACATACATTCCACAAGATACTCGAAAATCTGAGCCCTGCTTTGAGATTGCTGACAAGGACCCACTCAGAGTTGCCGTCGGCACTTGCGTTGGGGAAATAACTTTATTGTGCCCTGCGAATTGCTAAGGATTTTCTCAATTTTTTCATTTTTTTTGGGGGAGCAAACACGTGCTATCGTTTGCGAGGTACTCAAATGAAGCTAACAAGTAGTTATAGAAATGAAAGCTTGTAGAAATAAAAATACAAAATACAAAAAAATACGGGCATACAGACAAAATTCATCTTGAAAGAAAAAAAGAAAATATTCTTAAATGAATTTAAAATTATATAAAAAAATTGTATTATTTTTTACTTTAAAAGCCTTACCAACCAATTATTTGTCCATTTATAAATATAATAAAATAATTTAAGTGGGGAAAAAAAATATTTAAAGGTTCTAAGGGTCATCCTACCTATGTTGCTTGTAATACTTGAGTAAGTTATTTAACATATGATACCTTTGTGTTACTACCTATTTCGTAATTCAAAAATATATTAAATATAGAAAACTTCCCAAAGACTTAATATAATGACGGGCGAGTGCATTTTGGGGGTCTTAACATGGAGCATATTCGACATTGGTTCGATCACGTACAGGACAATTTACTGATGTTATTTATCCATGGCGATGTTCAGTTTCTCTCTCGTGTGCACGGCTACGGCCTGGGCGATCCCAGGGATCCTTATCCTGGTGGCTCTTGTGAGGCAGTTCGTGGGCCACTCTGGCATATTTGTCTGCGTCGCCGTCGCCGGGAACGCGGAGCGGTGCGAGCGGTCCAGCTGGATGAGCTGAGCCAGCCGCTCCAGAGGATCGCGATGCAGCTCTGGCGGCTTTTCAATCGGTTGCAGTGCCTGGCAAAATCTGTCGGATTGCACCAGAGCCAGAGTGTGTGCAAACATGAGAGGTCAGTCAGTGGCCTTTTGTGGATTTCCCGTTTAATATTTATAGCTTAATGGCATCTTGCTTACGGGAGAAATTAGTTTTCTCAGGGCTGGCCATCTTGGGGTATTCCAAATTCTAAATTGCAAATTCCAAAGTATACGACAGCAGACGACGACGCAGACGAGTGGACGCCGTTGACTGGTCTGTTTTGATCGAGGGCCGGATCTTCGGGTTCAAGATGTCAGGAATTCGTTTTGGTTTAATCGAGCGTTTTAAATGTTGGTCTTCACGGGGGCAGCGTTGGAGTGTTTAGTAATCAATTGGAAGTGTCAAAAAAATCAGTTGATTGCATTCGAATTTCGTTGTTTGCCTTCAATCGAAGTTGTTATTGTAACACACACCCGCCGACGCACACACACACACACGCACACGAAAGGACAATCGCGGCCGAATACATATATTTAGATATATATATTTGTATATATTTTATTTCATTTATTGTATATAAATAGTATTTGACGGCACTCGAACTGCAACTGAAGCCTCAGCCCCTAAGCGGTATGGGGGGCGTGGGCGGTTGACTTTGGGGTTGGCAAACGCGCGCGCACTTTGCACCCATTTATATATATATATATATATATCTATATTCTATACCGTATATATATATGCAATATATATATTTTATATATAATAATGCGGCCCACTCCACTCCACTTCACTCCACTGCACGGCGTGTGTGTGTGCTGGATGCTGGTTGCTGGATTTTTTAGAAAATAAGCAAGTCCGAAACTGAACCGAACCGTCGACGACTTGGACCAACTCTGCGGCTCCTCGCTGGAGCGGCAGCTATCGTTACGTGGCGTTGGCGTTGGCGTTTGCGTTACTTCTTTTGCTCGGTGCGGTGCGTCGAGCCGAGAATATAAAAAAGCAATGTTCTACTCAAAAGACGTCCAAAAGCCGTATGCCAACTGCGGTGCCCGGCCGATGCCTTCCGATGCCGATAGATGCGTTGCGTTGCGTTGCGTTGCGATGCCGTGCATTGCGTTCCGTTCAGTTCGTTCGGCGTTCCGTCATCGCGACACGGACACGGACTTTGGCAAACGACGACGCGTACATGGCCACCACCAGCAATCCCCCCTCCCATAGATGGCCGCCAAAAAAAGCTACAGACGCGCAAAATGCAGCGAGCCCAGACCAACTACCCTCCCCCCCCAACCCCAATTCGTATGTAAAAGCATCTCTGTTTAAGTTTTTTTCCTTTGGCACAAAGTTCGCGCGCGCAAAAAGCGCACACACACATGGGTCGGGTGTCTATGTACTTTGACCACTCGATGTGCGAATGAAGCGCGGCCTGAAAAACGGGTGATGGGGTGATGGGCTGCCCACCAAGAAATAGAAAAAACTTGGCTCCAGCTCTACGCAATGTCTACGCGCCCACACTTAGCCCATCCACCCATCCATTCGATCAGACCCCATGCTATGCCATGCCATGCCATGCCATGCCATGATATGCCATTCCATCCCGCCGACCCTTTTTCGAGCCGACCAACCACGCACGGCGATGCTGGCAAAGAAATGCAGCTGCACCACCGCCACCTCTGCCCCGTTTTTGGGCGCCAGATCATTATGAGTTTCATCATCGTCCTGCTGGCAAACGCACAAATCACGCAGTCAGGTGGGTGGTTGGGTGGTTGGGTGGTTGGGTGGTTGGGTGGCTGGGTGGCTGAAGGGCAGTTGCTTGCTGCACGTGCTGGGGCTCCAGGAACAGCTGCTGTTGCTACTGCTACTGCTACTGCTACTGCTTCTGCTACTGGTACTGCAACCCCCTCTTCGGCTGCCATGTAAATTTCCGAGGCCTGGTCAAGTAAATAAACTGCAGCCTAGGGGGCGGATGGGGGATGGGGGATGGGGAGATGGGGGGTGCTGGAAAGGTCTTCTAAAAATAAGCCGAAAAGAGACAACAAAACCAAAAAAGAAGCAACCGCCTCAGTCTAATTGTGTGTGTGTGTGAGAGTCCTGGAGTGCAATTGCCTTGCAGCGTTGCATCCTTTCGGCTGCACTCGCAGCTCTCGTTGCGCAGCCTTCTCTCTCTCTCTCTCTCTCTCTTTCTTTCCCCACTCTCTCTCTTTCTCTGTCCTTCTCTCTCTCTTTCTCTGTCTCTCCGTCTCTCTGTCTCTTTGGAGTTTTCCTTTTTTCCCATCTAAACTGTGGCAAGTTGACGTCGACTGCGATGCTGACGCCGGCTTCGCTGCCATCTGCTATTTACTAGTGCAGCTGGTGGTAAATGAAGCAGCCCCCAAACCACTTAGCACCCAGAGTCACCCCACCACCCACAACCCACTGCCCCTTTAGCTGGTGGCGCTGCTATCTTCTAGTTGGCAATTGCATTGCCTGCAATGCACTTCTCCGGTTTCGGGAAGCGGGGAATGCTATGAGGATGCACTGCGCATGCCCTTGTTTACATTATGTGCATGGCTCCAAAACTTCGCCTGCCTGCCTGCCAGCCTGCCTGTCTGTGTGAGGATGTAGAAAAGCAAAAAGTCTACAACTACAACTAAACCTGCTGCTGCTGCTGCTGCTGGGGAGAGTGGCACGCACACCAGCAACACGATGCTGTTGCTGTTGCATGTTGCTACTGCAGCTGAACGCCGCCACCCGACGACAGGACACGAAGTCCTTGGGAACAGGAGCCGAGCTCAAGCTGGGCTAAAGCCTTCTGCGATCTTCAGACCCACTGAACTAAGGAACTCAAGGAAGCCTTTTTCTCAGAAACTAATTTGAGTTAATA